GATCCGAACCCTCGGGTGGGAGCGCCACCACGCTTCCCAAGCGGCGCACTTATCCAGTGCGCCACCGGGCCGGCCCTCCATGGTCTTTTTTAAAAGAGACTTTTGTCAGGCAGTCTCGGTCCAAGCCCCAGTGTAAGCCCCCGAATAAGATCCCTACTTTTTACCAAAAAAAATCATGAAAAGAATCTTAAAATTCAGGGAGTTGCTGGGGTTATATCTTGAGTGCCAACTCCAGTTCATGGAGGTCAATGCTAAGGATTCTGAAGCTACTTCTGGGCTCAGTGGGCAAGTATGGTTGGGAATGGGTTGGGGGAGGGACATTTATTTTCCCTATCTGCCACTCCTGCGTGTATTGGTCAGCTTTTGTAGGTGAAGCTGCAGTAACAAGCAACCCCCAAATCTCAATGGCTGACAGCAGCAAAGGTCTGTTTCCCGCTCCCATTCCTCATTGACAGCTGGTTGGTCGTCTGCAGCTCTGCTGCCTCGTGCCTTTCTCATTCTAGAGCCCAGGCTCAGGAGCAGCCCCAGCCTGGGAAATGCCCTTCTCATAGCACAGGGAGAAGAGAGAGTCGGCAGACACACACAGTGGCCCTGTGGCTTCTGCTCTTAACTGGCATGCAGCCCTTCTGCTTACCTTTTATTGGACAAACCAAGTCACATGACCAAGTCTGACACTGAGCAGGGAAGTCTGTTCCCTTTGCAGGGAGACACACAGCAATGGGTTGGATGTAAAATCCTCTTGGAAGGGGGTAACAAATCTCTGGGAACAGTCATAAAATCTACCACCCTGCCTCAGGTCATCTAATCGAATACATCTTTTAGAGATGGGGAAACTGAGGGTCAGAGAAATTCAGGGATGAGCAGGAGCATCATTCACACACGGTGAGGACTGATCTTGAAATCACCAATATGTATTTGTGTTTGGGAGATAGACTCGCACACGGAGGTCCAGATGCACACACATACTCACACTCATGCTGATACACACTCTCACACACACTCACAGCCATACCCACGCTCACACCAAGGTGCTCGCAAACTCAGCCTCCCCATGCCCCAGCCCCTGCTCTTTGGTGGAAATAATAAGCACACGGAGGTCCAGATGCACACACATACTCACACTCATGCTGATACACACTCTCACACACACTCACAGCCATACCCACGCTCACATCAAGGTGCTCGCAAACTCAGCCTCCCCATGCCCCAGCCCCTGCTCTTTGGTGGAAATAATAAGACCCAGGCAATCCCCCCTCCCCCTCCCCAGAGGCTACGTGCCCACGGTGCTAGACTGAAGGTGGTAAAGAGTGGGTATCAGAGGATGGCTAGCTTGGGGGCTCAGGCTACTGGCTGCAGGAGACTAATGGCAGGTGTGTGCCCTCTGTCTAGGGCCCAGATTTTGGCTACGTGACCCGGGAGCCCCTCTCTGAGTATGTCACCAGCCTTGATTCCTTTGGGAACCTGGAGGTCAGTCCCCCGGTGACTGTGAATGGCAAGACATACCCCCTTGGCCGGATCCTCATCGGGAGCAGCTTTCCTCTGTAAGAGAAGCCAGGGGCTGGGGGCACGGGAGTGGGAAGATTACTGTTTCTCTTTTGGGGTGACCTGGGTTGCTCCCACATGGAGTGAGTGACTGGGAAAATCACCGCTTCCCACAACTCTCTGTTAACATACAGACCCTCTTGGAAAGAAAACCAAGTTAGCCTTTATATTTTAGTATGAATTGCCCATATGGGAGGGTGTATGATGAGATTATAAACCAGGTGGGAAAGGGACGGAGGAGCCCAGAGGAGGAATACTGGCAGAGGATGAGTGGGAGCGAACCAACAGATCCTTGGGGGTGCCCATATGCAAAGAGGAGTGAGAAGACGTGGCCCTGCTCCAGAAGCGTGAGCCTGGCTCCCTGACCCATCTGTATGCCCTCACTCCCTACCCAGTTAACCCACCAGCCAATGAAAAGGCAGATTCTTCCCTGGTCAGGGCAGTCACTGGGGAAAGAGCAAGTACTTCGGGTCCTCACTTCACAAAAGAGCTGCCAGGAACCTGCACATATGGGGTCAACCAGGTCCCTCTGAGCCACATGGGATGCTTTACCTGCTGGAGGGAGGCTACTGGCACAGGCAGTGACAGTTTGTCCACCCCCTTCTTCTCCCCCCACTCAACAATCACTCATCCGTTCAGCAACTATTTCCTGAGCACCAGCCAAGTGCCAAGCCCTGTGTCGGGCACAGGGTTCCAAACACAAAGCCCAGCCCCTGCCTTCAGGAGACGGTGGATGTCACAGACACGCAAGTAAACCCTGATGAGACAGAGGGGCATACAGCCAGAGAAAGAATGACAGGGAGTCAGGGGAGCCCAAGGAGGGAACCCTAACCCCCTTGGGGAGTTCAGGGAGGACTTCCTAGAGACAAATATTTATTGAGGACCTACTCTGTGCCCCACACTGTTCTAGGCTCTGTGGATAGAGCAGTGACCAGAACAAAGTTCCAGCTCTCAGGGAGTTTACAATCTAGTAAGAGGAGTACTGAAAATAACGTGAAAGCAAGTAAATAAGTAAGATAATTCTGGATGCTAAGGGCGATGAAGAGGATAAAATAGAGTAACATGATAAGGAATTAGTCGGGCAGGGGTACGTTAGCCGTTATGGTTTTGAGGAAGTGACTTTGGAATTGCGGCTTGAGATGTTGGGAAGAAGGAGGTGGCCACTGGAAGAAGGGACGGGAAGAGCTTTCCAAACAGAAGGAACAGCAAGTGTGAAAGCCCCGAGATGGTAACGAGCACAGCAGGTGGCTGGAGCAGCAGAATGAGGAAGGACGGGGGGCGAGGTAGGAGGGCCAGGCAGGGGCAATTCAGGGAGGGATTTTTTTGGCCACCATAAGGACCTCAGGTTATATTCTAAGGATGATGAGGAGATTGAAGACCTCAGGGAGTCTAGAAGTCAAGAGGGGCTTCCTGGAGGAGGTGTCTCTTGAACTGATTAAAGTTTAAGCAGAGGTTAATGTAGCAAAGAAGCACATGACATCCCTGTGTCCTAGTCCCCTCCACCTGTCCAGGTAGGACTCCTGAGCACAGAAGGTGGCCTCCCCACACCCACTGGCACCTTCAGAGGCTGAAAGTGGGGCTCAAATGCCTCTCAGCCTGTGCCAGGGTCTCTCAGCCCTGCAGCTCCGGCTCCTTCCTGTGACTTCTCTGCTGATGCCACCTGGGTTGGGGCTGGTTCTAGAGGCTTCCTCTGGTGAGGCAGCCACAGTGGGCAACCTTATGAAGAGCCTCCCTCTCCTCCAATCCTGCCCCAGGTCCGGCGGTCGGAGGATGACCAAGGTGGTACGTGACTTCCTGCACGCGCAGCAGGTGCAGGCGCCCGTGGAGCTCTACTCTGACTGGCTGACTGTGGGCCACGTGGATGAGTTCATGACCTTTGTCCCCATCCCAGGCACAAAGGTGAGCTAGCCTCCAAGGACACAGTGAATAGGGTAGTGGAGAACACATGTACTACCAGCCCTTGCCAGCAGAGGGTGGGATCTAGAGGAAAAGGACATCACAGAGGAAGAAGGAAGTAGGCTGAAGCTGGTTTGTATTTTGTCGCTGTGGCAGGTGATAAATAAATCCAATAAATTTAAAATATTTCAACATGTAATCAGTTTAAAAATTATTAATGAGAGATTTTACATTCTTTTCTCATACTAAGTCTTCAAAATCTGGTGCACATTTTACTCTTACAGCACATCTCAATTTGGATTAGCCACAGTTTGAGTGTTCAGTAGTCACACAACACAGTGGCCATCACGTTGGCTGTAATGCTCTAGAGAGCAATGGGGTATGGGCCTGTGGCTCTGGAAAGAGGTTCTTTCTGTTTCTGAAGTGAAAGGAATGGCTGCAACTTCATATCCTGGAAATTCTGTGCAAATGGCCTGACCTTTCAGCAACTTGGAGAAGCTTCTCCACTGTGTCCAAGGCCACATTTGACTCTGAGCTTTGACCCAATGATGTTGCCGAGATGGAGGAAGGATGAGAAATATTCTTCTGAAACAGAAAACCCTCCCAGGCAGCCTTTGCTACTCAGCATGGGAGGCTTGAAGTGATGTGCAGACAGGACTCCTGGTCCTGGGCCACCTTCCCTCTGCTGACACTGTCCCTCTGGATTGTCTCTCACAGCAATTCCGGTTGCTCATGGCCAGCACCTCAGCCTGCTACAAGCTCTTCCGAGAGAAGCAGAAGGAAGGTCATGGGGAATCCATCATGTTCAAAGGTGAGTGGCCACAGGGCCTTGGCAGGGAGCTGGAGCTCCCAGAGAGACCTTCAGGAGGACAGGACAGATGAACACTTTGTTCCTAGCAGCCAGCTGCCTGGGCATCTGGTTCACTCTGGAGTTTGTGAGGCCACCATGATGGGAAGCTGCCCTGGCCTCTGTGACCCTTGCTGTGGTTAGGTGGACCTCTGACCTACCCACTGCTCCTTATTATCATCAACAGTGCAAAGCACTTCTTCAGGGACTTAGTGTGTGTACCCTAGTGGCACTAGACCCAGAGGAGGGTAAGTGGTTGAAAACTGATGTGTGATCTGTATTCAAGGAGCTTATGTTTTAGAAAGGGAGATAGAGAGGAAAAATAAACATAATATAGTTTAGGGACAAGAAGAAAAGTGGGCTTGGACAGACACGATAAACAGTCAGACATCCCACTTTTGGTCCTGGGGTGAGAAATAATCTGCTTAATTTAGGTGTCCATTTAACTGGAACAGACATAGACTGGAGTGAGGTTTGCACTTAAATTAATCATAGAAAGAAGGAAAGCTGATCAGGCGGAGACAGCCAGCCAGGTTAGAGAGACCGTGCCCATTCCTTAGACTGTTTTTTTATTGTGGTAAAATACACATAACATGTTTATCATTTTAACCACTTGTAAGTACACAATGTAGGGACATTAATCCATTTGCAGGTTGAATAACCATCACCACTGTCAATACCCATTATACATTTTGGTTTCTTAAATTACTTTTTGCCACTTTTCAGGTTGGTATCCCCAATAAATCTCATGCCCAAAACCCTGCATTCGCACAGCTGGTTGCTACTTCTGAGTACATTACTGCTGTCTATACCCAAAGCCAGTGTTCCTGCTACTGGTGTCTAGGACAGAAAAAACCAATTCAAGACCCCCATCCTTTTTTAATTTCCCAGCAATGGGCACTTTTTTTTCTTTGATTGGCAGTTCTGAGTCTTGACTCTGGAGGCTTCCTTTCTATATGTTTAACATACCCCAAAAGCTACTATAGGATATAGGAGCCATTATCTTTGTACAAATAGGGGCAAGCAGTGGTGTGGAGACAGCTCAGGTACAAGGTCCAACCCCACTCCCTTTGTCACTGACAAGCTAAAATCCTAGAAAGTATAATGGACCAGCAGACTCTTCCCAGATCAGGCACACAAAAAGTATAGGTTAAGCACATAAGCTCTGGCATTAGACTGCCTGATCTCTATAACAGTGCTGCCACTTGCTAGATGTGAGTGAGACCTTGAGCAAGTCACATAACCTCTCTGTGCCTCCATTTCCTCATCTTTCCTCTTTAGCAGCTACCTCGTAGAAATGTGGAGAAGATTAATGAGTTAATCCATGCAAAGCATTTAGAAGAGTACCTGCCACATTCTAGGTGCTCAGTGAGCATTAGGTAATCATCATCAGGCCAGAAGCAACGTGAGCCACCATGTGGAATAGGAGGCAGGTGCAGGCCCACTCCAGGGCAGGGGTCGAGCATGAGGCAGGTCCAGAAAATGGGATGGGTGACACCTCTGGGCATTCTGCTGCTGCCACACTCACACTGGTCAGCTGCTTATCCTTAGCAGCAGGCTCTATGTGGTCAACCAGGTGGCTACTCATGCTATTCCCACCCAGTGACCAGACAGGGAGCAAGGCAGCAGCGCCACTTCCCTGGCTCAGGTGACATGGCCAACCCTGGAGAAAGGTTGGCCCTCCCCAGGCAGAGGGAACCTGATTTCCCGTGGGGTTGCCCTCCTGTCCCCCAGCCTGTTCCAAGGCCCACTTCCCCCATCCCAGTCCAGCAGTTAGCACAGGGGGGCCTGGGTACCTAAAGCTTGACCATCCCCTATCCTCTGACCCCCACAGGCTTGGGTGGCATGACCAGCAAGCGAATCACCATCAACAAGATTCTGTCCAATGAGAGCCTTGTGCAGGAGAACCTGTACTTCCAGGTGAGCGTGGGGCCCAGCCAGTGCTGAGGATGCTGGGCCAGAGATCCCAGGGAGGAACGAGGCTCCCATCCTCATATCCTTGGGGCTTCTGTGGAGAATGGCCAAGGGCTCAGGGGCTCCTGTCTCAGAGCACCTCACTCCTGTGCTAAAGATGGAGGGTAAAAGGGTGACATAGGAGACTAGAAGCAAGCAGTCAGTGAGCATTAGGTAATCATCATCAGGCCAGAAGCAACGTGAGCCACCATGTGGAATAGGAGGCAGGTGCAGGCCCACTCCAGGGCAGGGGTCGAGCATGAGGCAGGTCCAGAAAATGGGATGGGTGACACCTCTGGGCATTCTGCTGCTGCCACACTCACACTGGTCAGCTGCTTCTCCTTAGCAGCAGGCTCTATGTGGTCAACCAGGTGGCTACTCATGCTATTCCCACCCAGTGACCAGACAGGGAGCAAGGCAGCAGCGCCACTTCCCTGGCTCAGGTGACATGGCCAACCCTGGAGAAAGGTTGGCCCTCCCCAGGCAGAGGGAACCTGATTTCCCGTGGGGTTGCCCTCCTGTCCCCCAGCCTGTTCCAAGGCCCACTTCCCCCATCCCAGTCCAGCAGTTAGCACAGGGGGGCCTGGGTACCTAAAGCTTGACCATCCCCTATCCTCTGACCCCCACAGGCTTGGGTGGCATGACCAGCAAGCGAATCACCATCAACAAGATTCTGTCCAATGAGAGCCTTGTGCAGGAGAACCTGTACTTCCAGGTGAGCGTGGGGCCCAGCCAGTGCTGAGGATGCTGGGCCAGAGATCCCAGGGAGGAACGAGGCTCCCATCCTCATATCCTTGGGGCTTCTGTGGAGAATGGCCAAGGGCTCAGGGGCTCCTGTCTCAGAGCACCTCACTCCTGTGCTAAAGATGGAGGGTAAAAGGGTGACATAGGAGACTAGAAGCAAGCAGGAGACCTGGGAAGGAAGGTATACCAGGCAGTGCCAAAGAGCCAAGATCTCTGTTAGACTAGAGCCCATGACATTTGGGGAAGGTGCAACCCTTTAAAATATAATGAAAGCGACAGACTTACTCTCCAGAAAAATGCTTATATGAACATGCACCCTGAACTTTGATTAGTTTTAAGAGATCACAGATCCCTAAAGCTTTCTGTCTGTGCATGGATCTCACCTTCTGAGTCTTTTAGTCTCAAAGGTTGCATCCAGAAGTAGAAACCAGTTATATTTATTTGAATTAAATCTCTATTTGCATGGTGTATTAGTCCATTTTCTGTCACTGATAACAGAATACCTGATACTGGGTAATTTTTTTTTTTTTTTTTCTTAAAAGATGACCGGTAAGGGGATCTTAACCCTTGACTTGGTGTTGTCAGCACCAGGCTCAGCCAGTGAGCTAACCGGCCATCCCTATATGGGATCCGAACCCGTGGCCTTGGTGTTATCAGCACCGCACTCTCCTGAGTGAGCCACGGGCCGGCCCTCTGGGTAATTTAATAAGGAAATGAAACTGCTTTCTTACAGTTTTGGAGGCTGGGAAGTCCATAGTCCAGGGGGTGCATCTGGTGAGGGCCTTCTGGGTAGGAAGTCTTGACAGACAGTCCTGTGGTGACACAGGGTGTCACTTGACGAATGAGCTGAGCAAGAGGGAGCTTCTCATTTGTGTCCTGATAAAGCCATCAGAACCATGCCTATGACAACCCATGAACCATAAACCTATTACTCCATGAATGGATCAATCTATTAACAAGAGTACAGTCCTCACAATCCAATCACCTCTTAAAGGCCCCACCTTCCACCATCATATTGGGGGTTAAGTTCCAGCATGAACTTGGGGGGATGTTCAAATCATAGCACCTGGGCATATTTAAAAGGACCAAGTTTTTAAAAATTAAAAAGCAGAAAACTCAACTCAAACTGGTTTAAACCAAAAGGCATGATTGGCTCATATAAGTGGGAAGTCCAGCAGTGATATGGATTTCAGGAACAGGTTGATGATCGGGGCTCCAGTTCCATTTCTCCATACTTCTTGGGCTCTGCAGGTGCCCTCATGGTAGGAGCATGACTGCAACAGTTCAAGGCCTCAGACCCACCCAGCACACCACCCACAAAGACAGAGGTCTTATATGCCCTCGACAATTGAGCAAGGACTTGCATTTCACTCTGATTGGGCCAACCTGAACCAGTTACATGGCCAGGGGAGTTCCATATGTTGATTGGCTTAATCCTGGGTTACTGCCCATCCCTGAACCAATCACTGGGGCAGGGAGGTAGGGGTGAGAATTCACTAATTAGCCTTCACCTAGAGGTGGGGTGGGGCAGGGAGGTAGGGGTGAGAATTCACTAATTAGCTTTCACCTAGAGGTAGGGGTGGGGCCAATTCAACCCAACAACATGCCGTGGGGAGATGGGGGTGGAGTGGATGCCCAGGAAGCAATGCAAGGCCCACTGAAGTTTACAAAATGCCTCACTGGCCATTGGAAAGTTGACTTCATTAAAACTACCCCCTCTGTGGTCATTTCCTGGCATCAGGTAGAGCCAAGGTCAAATCGTGGCCTCCACGTTTGGCGGTAAGACCTGGGACAACTCACTAAGGACTCTTTGCTTCCCTCATTTCTAAAAAGGGGATAATAATGGGATCTACCTCATGGGGTTGAAGCTTAAATAAGTAATCTATGTAGAAAGCACTTAGGACAGTGCCAGGCCCTTGTACACGTTAGCTTTTAAAATAATTACCAGAATCATCATTGGTATTATTCCTACCTCATGGGGTGGCCTGAGGAGTCACTGAGATACTGTGTGGGAGCACTGAGCACAGGGGCTGGCTGTCAGTAAGTGCTCAGTACATGACAGCTACTGGTATATTTCTGTGACCTTGCTCTGCTTTGTTATTGTTATTACTGTGTTCCTGAGCCCTGGTGGAGAGGGCCTGGGAGAGATGGCAGGGAGCCAGCTGAGCACTGGAAGTGTCCCTAGAGTGCCAGGGCCCTGGCCTGATGCTGTAGACAGGTGGGGTTGATAATGTGCCAGGTGTGTGTCCCCTTACCTACACGCCCTCCCTCTTTCCCTGCCTGCCCAGCGCTGCCTGGACTGGAACCGCGACATCCTCAAAAAGGAGCTGGGACTGACAGAACAGGACATCATTGATCTTCCCGCCCTGTTCAAGATGGATGAGAAACGCCAGGCCAGAGCCTTCTTCCCAAACATGGTGAGGCCCTCTGGACCCCAGCCCTCACCCCATGCCAAGTAGGGGTCAGCCAGATCCAGAAAGATCCCTGAGCTGAGACTGTTTAGTTAGGAGGTGCAGGTCCCAGTCCAGGCTGAGCTGCTGTGTGAACTTACCCCAGGGACTTGCCCTCTCTGGGCCTCCATTTCCTCCCAGGGGTAATATGCTTGTCCGAGCTGCTTCACTGGGGTACTGGGAATCCTTTACCTTAACAGTTAGGAAAGTACTTTGCAAAAAGTAAAAAGTCCTTTATGTACAGGAGAAATTCTTGTTATCATAGAAGGGAGGTTTCCATGAGATGGAAAGAGTTTAGAACAAAACACACACACACACAGGTATATATACACACATACACACACACACATACACACATGCACACAGAAATGCATACATACGAGTACATACCCACACACGTATGCTCATTTATGCGCACATGTACATGTACACACTGTTGTGTGTGTATATATCCACGTGTACATACATGTACACGCACTTGTGCATGCTTTTGCACACCCGTACATACAGAGGCAGATTGCCTGGTTTTCCACTTCAGCTCTGCCATTTATGAGTTGCTTAGCCTTCTCTGTGCCTCAGTTTTCTCATCTATAAACGGGATAATCAGTATTTACTTCACAGGGTGGTTGTAAGTTTCAATGAGCTTAGAACAGGGCCTGGCACATAGTAGGTGCTAACTAAATAGGAGCTGTTGCTGCCTCGGTCCCCCATCACAGGTGAACATGATCGTGCTCAACAAGGACCTGGGCATCCCCAAGCCATTCGGGCCACATGTTGAGGAGGTATGCTGCCTGGAGACCCATGTGCGTGCCCTGCTGGAGCCCCTGGGCCTTGTCTGCACCTTCATCGATGACATTTCTGCCTACCACAAGTTTCTGGGGGAAGTCCACTGTGGCACCAATGTCCGCAGGAAGCCCTTCACCTTCAAGTGGTGGCACATGGTGCCCTGACCTGCAGGAGCCCTCATACTTCCCTCCTTCCTGAGTTCTCCAGACTCCTCACTCCCCCTAGATCCTCCCCCTGCCTGACATGGACTGAAGGACCCTGCTGGGAGACCTTGAAGAAATGGGGTGGGATCTGGGGTATCTGCACCTGGTCCTCCCTGAGAAGGGCCTTGGTGTCCATTGAAGACACCACTCTGTCCTTCCTGAAAATAGCTGGGCATTTGGCCAGTGTCTGTATAGCCCCAACATGAGAAACAAAACAAAACAAAACCAAAAAACATGTATCCAAACCATTCCCAAAGAATTCTTAGTCTCCAGTCCCAAACCGAAAGAGGGGGGAACAGAAGGAGGTCTTGGATGGCAACTTCTCCCAGCAGCCATGCCCCGAAGTTCAAGATAGAACACATGGAAAGGGACCCTGTGACCCAAGATATACCTTGAACTGCCACCATCATTTCAAATTCGCCTCCCTTGAAGTTTCCAGGTGGCCACCCCCAATTGTTCATTCCTTACCAGCCTCTCTTTACTCCCTCTCTTTACTCCTTTCTCTCTGCAGTGTAGACACCATTGGCTAGCCCTCCCTGCTCTTTGAGGGTCCAATAATCTTTACTCCTTTCTCTCTGCAGTGTAGACACCATTGGCTAGCCCTCCCTGCTCTTTGAGGGTCCAATAATGTAGCTTAGAATCTTCCCTGGAAACAGATTTTATCAGAGCAATTTCTCCATTTGTGAGATGCAGACACAGCCTCCCCCAGATGCTTGGGGACTTCTCCCCAGACCAGCATCTTGTGGTAAAGATGCCCCAGGTCAGCCACATCTGTCTTCTCCTGCCTGGTCCTTGATTCTCTGGCCAGTCCCTGACTTCCCTCCTCCCACCACCTTGACTTCCTTCCTGTTCCTGATGCCGTCTCTCTGGGCAGCTAGACAAGCACTTCATCATCAGCTAGATGTAGGCCTTCCCCGGGGCATAATTAACAAACTGCCCCTCCTCCCCAGACATCAGGCCCAACACTTAAGGACCCTGGCCTACCCTCCAGACCACAGCCAGTTCTGGGCCTTACAGGCAAACTGATTATCCTATTGAAATTCACCAGTGCATTTGCCATAGACCCTCTCATTTGGACATATCCAAATTAATTCCCTGGCTCCAACTGAAAAGACTCAGTTGCAACTTTAAGAAATTCCTTTAGGTCCAGGAGAATAAGTGAGCTATAATTCCACTTTGAAGGTTAAAGTTTATAAATTTGTGTTCTTGGGGAAACGGTATTTTCATTTTGGATTATTTCGTTCAACCATTCGACGAACATTTGTGTGCCTAAGTGCTAGGCCCAGTGTTGGGCTCTGAGAACACAGCGGTTAGTGGCAAACTGATCTGGTCCCTACCTGCATGGAACTGGTCAGTTCCCAACATGCAAAGCCCACATGTAAATGGCCAGCATCTGCCCCTTCAGTGATGTG